CAGTGTATCCAGTGTAAAGCAACAGGCCATATTAAATATATATTAGTCACTCACTAACATTTTATTTAAAAGTTACACTGATATTAATTACAGCAACATGAATTGTTAAACAGTAGAAAAGCATAACTATATCATGCAAGCATATATAGAAATATAGAAAATGTTGGCTATGTAAGATAAAAAAACAACAACAACAGGAGACTAATCTAACATGTTTAATAGAGTGCAAGCAATAAATAACTGTGTTGTTGAGCACTGAAAAAGTGGTTTTACACGGGTTAATGGTGGCTCCTCACTCGCTCGCGCTGCCATTGGCTCGTCTCGTGCGCCGCACAGACTGCACGCGCTGACACTCACGCGCATGCGTCTCACTTTACTCCTCAGCCTTTGAAAACTCAGAGAGCTCAATTAAAAGACCATGTCCGCCATCGGGCGTCTACAGTCCTCGGTGTCCTTATTTAAACCAAATTCTCCATGAAATAGCATTATCCCGTGGCCTCAGCAATGGCCAGTTCGGTGAGTAGGGCTTTACCTGCTGTAGTATCGGTGCGATGTTTGGGCTCTCCAGCGCCCGTGTTCGTTTTCGTCTGGTTTGGGAAGGCGATTAGACGCATATGAGGCTTTTCCAGCCACATTTCCATCGGAATACTCAAGTACAGTAGAACTAGTGGAGTCGTGCGTTTCCAGTGCATGTCTGCTAAAGTCATGCGCTTGAAAGATTTCAAACAAAAGGAGGGCATCCAATAACAAACATCCAGAAATCTGACCGAATGCTCTATTTTTAGCATTCATTCTGGTATACCAGAAACTTATGATTCGACCATTGACAATTATTTTGCATTTGTGCGGCTATAGAGTGGTTTCAAGACGCGCGCACTCAGATTGTTTGCTTTTAATAATAAATAACTGGCGACATGATTATAAAGTGAACATTTTGGGTGTTTTAGGGTGCCGTTCAGGTGAAACTGGAACTCGGTCATCGTGCCCTGGTCCGAAAGAAACCCACCGTGGAAGGTTTTACGCACGACTGGATGGTGTTTGTCCGCGGACCGGAGCACAGCAACATTCAGCATTTTGTGGAGAAAGTCGTATTTCATCTACACGAAAGTTTCCCGAGGCCAAAAAGAGGTATGAAGCGATTTACTATTACATATCATTGAATTATCTTGAATAGTTGAGCTGGAATGATGTGCGATCCAGACTGACTGCACCTTGGCTAGGCTTCTTGATGCATGCAGATCTTGTCTAGCGCTGCAGGGACAAACAGTGGTTTGCATTTGTAAAAGAGACCAGTCATATATAAAGATGTTTATTAGCAATAAATGTTTTGCATGCTTTTCTTATTTCCTTCGCTGTACGTATTTGATTTCTCTTCATCTGTTACCTTTGACAATGTGCGTTAATCAGTGCGCGACTCCTAAAACGTTTCAGGAATAATGCGCTCGAATATTAACGCAATTAAATCCTTTGGTTTGGTTAACTTGTGTATATAGTATTCTCATGAACATTTAAGGGTTTTCACAACGCTAAAAGTATTTGTACCGCGCTAGAATATCCTAGAAGTTCAACTTTAGTTCGTAAATGTACATTTTGATATGAGGAAAGTGAATAAAACACTTTTGATCGCGTCTTAATAAACACGAGGCGCATTTTGTTTTAACGTTTGTACCTTTGTGTGCGTGTGTTTTTTGTTTTTTTTATTTATTGCCTCTCAGATTGTGATATAATATTCAAATATACTAAAAGTATTTGTACCGCGCTAGAATATCCTAGAAGTTCAACTTTAGTTCGTAAATGTACATTTTGATATGAGGAAAGTGAATAAAACACTTTTGATCGCGTCTTAATAAACACGAGGCGCATTTTGTTTTAACGTTTGTACCTTTGTGTGCGTGTGTTTTTTGTTTTTTTATTTATTGCCTCTCAGATTGTGATATAATATTCAAATATTATGCCCTATAGTCCATTGTCATGCCACCCTCATTTAATTTTAATAAAAAATAGTCAGTGTTGGGGGTAATGTATTACAAGTAACGCAAGTTACGTAATCGGATTACTTTTTCAAGTA